TTTTTTAACAATTCGCAAAAAATAGTGAAAAAAAAGAGCTGAATCGTAAAAAATAGTCTTTTAACAAATATTTGATGAATTTACGGCCATATTTATATTTTAAACGTAAGTAATTGATAAATATTAACCAATTATGCTATTTAAATTAAACTTTCTTATTTACTATCGATATAATTCTCTACAACAATAACTTTTCCAGAGTTATTATGATTTTTGACTTATAATAAATATAAAAAAAACACATTAATTTATTATTAATTGTTTCGACCTTTACTTGATGAAACTCCATATTAACTATGTAGATATAAAAACAATTTTGTTGTAAAGTTTCACGAAATTTATTAAATTTTGACAGCTGTTTCGCTACATAGTAGCTTCTTCAGAATGTATATACATATACATTCTGAAGAAGCTACTGTGTAGCGAAACAGCTGTCAAAATTTAATAAATTTCGTGAAACTTTACAACAAAATTGTTTTTATATCTACATAGTACACATTAATTTATAAAAAAACAACAAATATACAATTGCAACTTAGATTCTGCAATTTTTCAACATTTCCGTAATATAGCAATAAATATAAATGAAGGTTTTTCAATTTTTTTAACAAAATTCTTAAATTAACGAAAAAGTAAATTGTTTTTATTGTCAACTTCATTTGCTTCAATATTGTATAAGTAGAAATTGCTATTTGAATAATTGCACTAAATAATATTTTGATGGCATATTCGAACATAAGTAAAAAAATAATGATAATTATTTGATTGGGAAAGCAACTGTTACAATTTTATGATTGCTCTAGTTAATTATTATGACGTTAGCTACTCTATTGTCTTTGTAAATGGGTTTGATGCTTTATGTTATAACCCCAAAATGTATTGTTTGTTGTATTTAGTGATTAGGGGTCTATTCTGTAACTTTTTAGTTATAAATAACCCTGGGTTATATCATATCGACTGGTTAAAATCTCTAGAGCGATTCTGTAACTTCGTATTTGTTTTAAAATTTAACCCGATGCCGATATAACGCTGGTTATTCAGAAATGTATATCGTGAGGTATATTAGTAGGCGATAAAAATAACTTTTGAGTTATAATTTAGATTTAAATAAAAAAAACTTTCAAAGGTGCATTATAACAATAATTTCCTTTACAAATTATTAGTACTAAACTTTTTTGCTATTAATTACATAAACTATTTCATACACCAGAACCCTGAGTATTTTATTATTATTTTTTTTTTGATTTAGTAATGCGGCACGAATAATGAATCGCAATTTACATTCTTAAAATTATTTAGACTTAACAAGGAAGCTACTTATTTTCTTATCGAAAATCTTTTACCACATATGAATGATGAATTAAGAAATACTGGAATACCTGCCCATCTAAAAATATTGTGCACACTAAAATTTTTAGGACATGGGGGTTACCAGCTTACTCTTCATTTTACAATGAGCCAATCATCAGTTAGTCGTTGCATATCAGAGGTGTGTAATGTTATTAATAATATTCTTTTACAAAGATGGATAGTTTTTCCCTCCACCCCTCAAAACATTAATTTTTTTATCGCTATGGATTTCCTGGGATTGAAGGCAGCATTGATTGCACTCATGTTGCAATAATAAAAAATATTTTAATAAAATAATAGGTAGGTATTCTAACTAAAATAATATATTTTAATAAAAAATAATATACATATATTCAAACTTTAAATAAAAAAAACATATTTATATGTTAATAAAAATTAAGAATCATTTACAAATAAAAGGTACACAAAAAATTAGGAACTTTTTCAGTTTGGCAGCTGGTGGATTTTGGGTATACCAACATCTGAGTTATTAGACATGGGAGTCCCATGATGGGACCCACACCAAACTTATATGAGTTTATAATGACATTGAATGGACAGGTTCTGCCTAAGCAGAATTTAAATTGAAAAAGTTAGTTTTGCACCCCCTATTTAATCTTAAGATTATTCAAATTAAAGAGGTGAAATTTATAATTCACTACTGTGTCAAAATTTATTTTGAAAATCCAAGAGTATTTTATACCATTTTTAATTTTTTAAAATATAGTTAAATTAATAAAAATTTAAAATGGTATAAAATCTGTAATAATCTGTAAATTAATAAAAATTTAAAATGGTATAAAATCTGTAATACCTACTTATTAATAAATTTTGAAATTTTTTCATTAAACGTTGGTGAACGTATGAAAGTGATTGAATAATCGTAATTAGGGGGCACGCTGAAAAAATAACTTTTTCGCAAAGAAATTTAAATTCTTCTTGCGCAGAACTTGTTCATTTAATATCAGTATAAACTCATATAAGTTATGTTGTTATCTATGGGTGTGGGTCTAATATCTGAGATATCAGTAGAGGTGGGCCGGTTTGCGATTTTTCAAGAGCTGCGATGCAATGCGACTGCTCCGGCCGGAACACTGTGACAAAAAGCAGCGATTTTTTTCGAAGCAATGCGATTTGCGATGCTCCAGAGCAGTTTTGTTTGAGCAGTGCCACGGTAAAAGCAAAACACTGGCGAAAGTGCGAACGGAGAAGCAACTAGAGATAAGCGATATTTCACGAACTGTGATTTTTTCACTGATATTTAAAAATCACGAATAACGACTGCTACTTACATCTATTAATTAGCGTGATCTGTGATTTTTCACTTAGCGATATTTTACGAATTGTGTTTTTTCACTGATATTAAAAAGTATTAAATAACAATAAACCGTGAGTTGCTATTTATCAAAATAATTTTTTTCACTGATATTAAAAAGCATTAAATAACGATAAAACCGTAAATTGCTATTTATCACAATAATTTAACATAGATTTTCGGCCGGAGGCAAAAATAGAATGAAAAAATTTGAAATAGTTTTTTTAAACGCCCGTTTAAATAAGATTTTAAATGCCCGTAAGTATTAGGACAGCATAAAGTCGAATAGGTCTGACTGCTTTTCCGTGGTACCGTACCAACTGTTTAAACCTAAAAACTATAAACATTTAAAAGCAAACCTAAGTTTAAAAAGTTATCTACCAATAAGTTCAATCACATATTGATAAATACATGTGGAACAATTCCCCACACGGTCGCTGCTAAAGAGAGCAACAGCGACGGCCTGGTATAATTAAAATTTCGGAGCAATTTAAATTTTAAATTGCTTCGAAATGTCGCTGCGATTTTTACTGCCGCGGAGCAGTTTGCGATTGCGACGCCACCGGAGCAGTGACAAAGTAGCAGTTTGCGAAATCGCAACACACCTCTAGATATCAGTTTACCCAAAATGCTCCAGCAGCCACAAATTGTCTTTATTATTGCCTTCTAAAGGCCTTTGGAATGTTATTAAGCCCCTTTGTCACTGCAAAGTTGCTGGCTATCAACTGCCGGAGCAGTATATCTTGATTTTTTTAGCCTTCTTCTTATGGGCTTTTCCGGATAGGCATAGTTGAACGTAAGAATATTTTCCATATTCTAACTGCCTTCACCATCTTTGCACAGATTATAAAGAAACTACACTGACAATATTTGAGTTATCCCGTCAATAATAAACACGAAGTTGGCTACGCATTATAGCCACACTAAAGCACTAACTTTAAAATGGAAGGATTTATTTTCTTTAATTTAACATTTACTTAATAAGATATCATGTAAATCATAAGGTTTTAATATTTATATTAAAAATTAGGTAGTACATTTTTCCGTAAACACCTAATAAGTATTACATTTGTCATTGTTGAAGATGGTTCGTTGAAGTTCGTTGAAGTTTGTAGCTAATGTCACTAAGAGTTTTAACCATGTTCGATATGAAGTTAAAAATAACTAATAGTTATATTCATAACTTACAGAATGGGAATTACAGTTAAAATTATATCGATTTGGTTATAAATAAACTTATAACCCAGCCGATAAACATAACTAAAAAGTTACAGAATAGACCCCTTAGTCTGAGAACAAAGTACGAAGTGACTAGGTGCACGTTAGAGTGCCTGCAATTTATTTTTTACGGGCACGCTAGTGACGTAATAGATAAAAAACGTCATCACTGCCGTGCCGCTTAATTTAAAATTGGCGGCACAACAATAATATAATAATAAATTGTACCTGTATACATGTTAAGGGCACGTTAGTTACGTCATAAAATAAAATCTTAATTTGCTTTGTATAAAAGTCGAAATAATTTAATATTTATCAACTTGTTTATTTATGACCATTGAGATTTTTATTAAATTTGTAATATATTATCTAATAATGTAATCTGTTATTTGTGTTGATTAAAGTTTTGTTTTTTTTTTATGAATTGATGTGTTATGTTTATATTTATTTTTAGTCAGAAATCATAATAACTCTGAAAAAGTTATTGTTGTAGAGAATTATATCGATAGTAAATAAGAAAGTTTAATTTAAATAGCATAATTGGTTAATTTTTATCAATTACTTACGTTTTAAGATATAAAAATGGCCGTAAATTCATCAAATATTTGTTAAAAGACTATTTTTTTACGATTCAGCTCTTTTTTTTTCACTATTTTTTGCGAATTGTTAAAAAAAATTGCAAAAAAAAATGTTCATTCAAAAAATTGAACTTTGATGACTCCTACTGGCGAACCACTACGAGTTACACAAAAAAACACAAAGACAATTTTGAAGAGGGTGAAATTCCCTATAAGGTCCATAAAACCGATTCACAATATTGTAAAAAGCGGGCGAGCATTAGAAATTTGAAAAAAAAAAACATTTTTTTACATGCATTTTAAATGGGAAAACTTTAAATTTAAACTGCAAGTACTTAAAATTGATATTAAGAGCTCTACCTTGGTGAAATTTTTTTTTCTATAGGTAGATTAATATTTTGCTTGAGCACAGAAAAAAAAAACTTTGCGGAAATGAATCACCCTAGTGTGGAGCATATTACATTTGGTCCAAGTGGGATATTTGAACTACCACGCCAAAATATGGCTTTTTAGGACATTCTACACATCATTTTACTTACCACATGTGTCCGCTAGGGGCCTGCAGGCTGACGTGGCTGCTGTATTGGAAAGCGGGAAGGGTTTTAGTTAGGGCGGGTTCCTGCCCCACCACGCCCCTGCCCCTGACTGTTTCCAGTGTCCCAGATAGGGAGAAGATGCGCCAGTGACGTTCGCGTAGCTGGACGCTCAATTGGCCCAGGTTTTCCAGGCGAATGCAGTAGCGCCACTTCAAAGAAATTTGAAAAAGAAACACAACATTTGACATTAACTTACCCAATATACAGAATTAGCGTGCGATTCCCTGCACCCCATATAAAACGGTATAACAGTCACGCGAATGTTCTCGGTAGTTTCCTTATGAACATCGGATAACTCTAACCAGGGATGGTTCTTATTTTGCCACGCTTTTAGGGTATCTTGAGCGACAAAAGGAGGATCTAAAATATAAAATAACATCCATACAAAATACAATACCAATATAGGACACTTACCCTTGTTTGGATTTCTGCTCAAAAACTTGTCGAACAGTTCGTGGTTTAGGGGCGACTTTTCCGCACTAACATAGGGAATTATGTCTTCATGAGCAACATAATCTAAGCCGGGGATGGCGTATAAACTTCTTGAACTTTCTTGGTTGCCCAAGAATGTCACAGCTTCAGTTTGAGCTCTCTGGAGACCCAAAAAAAGTTGTAACGTTTTTAACACGATTTATATATCCTTGTAAAGATTCAGTAATATTGGCAAAATTATATTATAAGATTCTTATAAGTTTTTTCCAAGACGTTCTATAACGTTCTTAACATTTTGTATGATTTGAAAATTTTATGAAAAGATTTAATATAATAGGTTTGGACTGTCAAATGGGCGCCAGGGACGAACATGGTCGCGATTTTACTAATGCACATGTCCCTGATGTCCAAATGCTAGGTATTATTTTAAGAATTGAGTAATTTTTAGAAGATGATTTATGTTTTTACAAGATTTTATGACAGGGTTGCCAGATCAGTCAGCGGAATTTATCCCATCGGAATTGAGTAATTTTTAGAAGATGATTTATGTTTTTACAAGATTTTATGACAGGGTTGCCAGATCAGTCAGCGGAATTTATCCCATCGGAATTTAAAAATCCCCTAAATTTAGGAATTAAAAACAAAAATCCCCAGAATATTTTTTTATTAATTATTATTCATTATTGAATTCTTGTTAAAAAAATATGTTTTTCATATTTATGAAGTATGAAAATAGTTTCTGTTACGAATAAATCCCCAAATTTAAAAAAAAAGAACAAAACATCTCTTATTATTTAATAATATACATACATATATGAAATAAACATTTCCAAAACGAATTCATTTTTGTTACGAGTATCATACATGCTAGCATTAAAGTTATTTAACATAGTTTCAGTTGGTATAAAACTGACAAAACTGTGCGTTATCTAACTTGAGATGGCGCCACTTACATTTAATAAGTAATTAAAATAAATGTTTCAGAGATGTCATCAATACTTTGACAAGTATAAATATATATATATTTACATATACTGCCCTACTATGGAGAAAGGCAGTAACTGCTAAACAATGACAAATTTGTGGGAAATTAGCATAAACTACATTTTTATAAAAAGCAATGGGTATTTAATTGATTTTTTTAACTTATGGAATATTTGACTGCGTTTCTGTGTTGAATTCGGATACAAAATGTCCATAGCTTTACCATAGCACAAGAAAACGCATTTTGCATTTTTTTGTAGTTACTGCCTTTCTCCATAGTAGGGCAGTATATATATATGTCATCATATACTTATATATGTCATCTCTTTATAGGATTTCAAGATTTAATATTTAAAAGTTTTTATCGAGTAGTGGTAAAATCTTAAATCCCCTTAAAGACCCCAAGTGAATATTTTTTCCCCAGAAGAAATCCCCTGACAAAAATATCCTTCAAAAATTACCCAAACAAAAAAATACCCTCATTTTTGGGGAAAATCCCCTCATCTGGCAACCCTGTTTTATGGATATTTATAAAGGTTTTGTAATTTGATCATCGACAGATGGCGCCACCATAAAACGGACAATAATGAAAGTGGCCGTGTTATTTTTCTTAGGTACTCAAAAACTACTTTTTTGCTAAGATCGACTAAAGTATTTTTTATTTACACCTTCCTAGTAAATGACATTTTATAGCTTAATTTTGTTGTTTTTGTTTCCAAGTAAACGATACATTATGAGAACAGACCTGTAATATTTTACGGGCTTGTATAAAAGACCTGTAAAATTTTAGGCTTGTAGAAAAGCAATTTATGAAATGAAATGACACATTTGACACATTCATTGAAATTTTAAATTTAAAAATCGTTATTTAAAGGTGAAAATAAAAGTGTGTACGCTTTGCAATTAATCTTTACTAGGCTCACTGGATTATGGGGTTCGATCCTGCGTCGCCGACCCCACAAACTTCCAGCCCGCCCGTAAAGATTCATTTACAAAGCTTGACACGTTAATAACTATTACAAGCTTTTTGATGGATTTAAAAATGTTTTAAAAAGATTTGAGTTTTTAATAATAGTTTTTGATGCAGATGCAGATTGGTAATTTTTGGATAATTTTACATATTTTTGTTTTTCAAAATGTTTTATAAAGATTTTATATACATACATTGATAATGGCAAGATTTAATATTTCGGTAAGATTTTAAGTTTTTTGATGAAATAGAGATCTAAAAATAATTTATTTACGAGAATTTTTGACCTATGACAAGATTTTAAATAATTTTCAAGAATTTTGACAAAATTTCACTTTATTAGGACCAGATTGGTATTTCTTTTGGATGATTCTAAATGTTTTCAAGTTTTTCTTTTAAAATAATTGGCAAGACTTGACGTTCTTATGAGATTAAACATTTTAAAGATTGTACGTTTTTGAGTTTATAGGACTAAAAAAGTTTTATTAATTTTTTTAATATCTAACGAGTATTTCGACTGTCAAATGGACGTCAGGAACACAGTGGCGGCTGGTGGATTTTGGGTACACCAATATCTTAGTTATTAGACATATGTCCCATATGGGACCCTTACCAAATTTATGGATTAGGATTTAAATTAAATTTTACGAAAAAAGTTAGTTTTTAAGTGTGCACCCCCAGCATCCTGCCCCCCTCCAAATTAAGATAATTCAAATTAAAGTGGTACAATAAAAATTCACTGCAGTTTATTAACAAATTTTCAAATTTATTCAAAAAATTCAAGTATTAGGTACAAGTTTTATACCATTTTAAATTTTTATTATTTCTATTTCAAAATAAAAAAAAATAGAAATGGTATATAATCTGTTATACCTACTTGGACTAAATTTTGATATTTGTTGATAAACTGTAGTGAATTATAAATTGCACCACTTTAATTTGAATTATTTTAATTTAGGGGGGGGCAGGAGGCTGGGGGTGCACACTAAAAAACTAACTTTTTTTCAAAAACTTCAATTTAAATTCTGCTTGCGCAGAACTTGTCTGTATAATGTCATTATACACTCATATAAATTTAATGTGGGTCCCATGTCTAATAACTGAGATATGGGTGTGCCCAAAATCCACCAGCCGCCACTGCAGGAACATAAGCAATACGAAAATATGGTCGCAATTTTACTATTGCATGTCCCTCACGCCCATTAAATTTTGACAGTCAAAATGCTTGCTAGGAACAAGCCTCTTGACTATACAATGGCTTGACAAGATTTTACATATTATTTTCATAAGAATTTGGCCTATTTTGACAAGATTTGACGTTCTTGCGACAAGGGCTGTGTTCCGTAATTTACTGCCATTACTATAATTATAATACTTAAGTAATTTTACTGTCAGTAGCGAAAAAATACCGTTCCGTAATTTATTCAGTACTGACGCAATAGTAAAATTGGAACGCGCCTCAGTAGCAGCAGAAAGTGACAATGGTTACGCAAGGTTATGATTTGTGATTTACTGACATTTGACAAACTTTACTTTCGGCACAGCAGAGAACATAAATAAAAAATAAATATAACAGTTATAAAAATATAATTTTTGGTTTATGGTAGAGAAATTTGGAAAATAAAATGGTTATCGTCGTCCGCGTCGAAAAATGTATATAGGAAGAGGAAATATAAAATTTCACCGAAACCACAACAATACGCCAAATACCAAAAATTACTCTTAAATTCGTAGGCTGAATACAAATATATAACATTTTCTAGGTACTACCTAGTAGGTAGTTTAATATTCTGGGTCTTCGTATGCGTACTCCCCGGCGACCTGCCTGCCATCCTCCTTTAATTATTAATTCGTGTCCTTCGTCACTGCTGCTTGTACTTTCAAGTAATATTTTATCATTCGAAACAACAATGACACAACTCAAAAATCACAGTTTTGAGAAAACGCATTTTAAATTTCTTATTACTGTTTTCTATTTATGAAGCCCTGTAAATACCTATAAAAGCTGGACTCAAATATTTTGTTGTTTAGGCATACTCTCTAAAAAACAGCAATAAAAAATTTTAAATGCGTTTTCTCAAAAACTGTTAGTTTTGAGTTGTGTCATTGTTGTTTCGAATAAGTGATATGTTTTACTGGAGCCACAGCACCTCTCTGTCACCAGTTGTTTCAGTAAAATTAATCTGCTGTACATTTATAAAAGGGTAGTATTTACCACTGAGCTCAGTAACTGAAAGTGGATTTCGGAATGCATTTTCAGTAGGTTCTGACAGTACTGACAGTAAATTATGGAACACAACCAAGATTATTATTAATTATTTTTATGGTTTTAAAATGGTTTTAACAAGATTTTACATGGTATTATTTTAACGTTTTTATGAAAGGATTTTTATTTTTAAAGTGTTTTTGAAGACACAAAAACTAAAATTATATACATATTTCACTTACAATATATGGGCAATCCCTTTGATCAATCAAAACCTGATAAAAAGTATGAGTTCTTCCCCGAACTTCCTTTCCAACCCCTGTGGAAGGTTCCTCATCTCCTTCCCGATGCTGAGGCAAATCTCTATCATAAACCCTGGCCAACCAAGGAAACAAAACGACCCCGCGATAACCGAACACCCTGTGCAGTATCAGTTGACCGGTTTCATACTTTCCAGTCACTTTGGGTGTCTCCAAACGACCCACTTCAGCTAACCTAAAAAATACGTCTGTTTGGTGGGTTTATATGGTTATATGAGGGTAGTAAATTGTTAAGTTTACCCTAAAATAGTTTTTTTTTAGCTTTATTGCAAATAAACATAAACCTAACCTAACTTTTATGACATTTATTTAAAAGCGTTAAAAAAACAACCCTTCAGCAATAAAATGTGGTATATTTTACTTACCTGGCATAATTACGATTCGAAACCAATATTTTTGTTGTTAGTGGTAGTAATTTTGACCTTACAGTTATACAAAATATTTCCATTTTAGCATTTTTTACGCATTACAACATTTAAACAAAACGGACATATTTTAGGCGTAAATCAATTTTGTTTACCGAAAAAAGGTTACAAAGTCATCATTTCGCCTTTTTACTAAACAATTTTGATTAATTTCTAAAAAATACGGAAAAAACCAAAATATTGACAACTGTACAGGGCGGAGTGTTACGTTCGGAAACGTCAATTGTCAAAATTGTGTTATGTAATAAAACTCAATTTTTTAACACTATAATGTATACAATTATATAAAAAACATATATAGTAACACAAATTATGCTGGATTTATCAATATTTTCAAGTTTTATTCATTCATTTTCAAGTCGACCTAAAAGCACATAAAGTCGGTTTCATACAAATGCGAAATGCGAATTGCGAAAAATGTTTTCATTGTTCCATTTGATTTGGCGGGAAAAGCGTTTCGACAGATCCTGAGGATTCGCAAGATTTGAAATCTAGGTGGCGGGAATCTTGAGATTGATCCAGTATTTTGCGAAAATCGCACTAATTTAGCGTGATGCGCATGCGTTTTGCATGCAAATTAATGCAATTACTTATACCTACAGTTCATTTTTTTTATCTGGACTCGTGTTTTTTTGTTAGGTTGGTGGCTTATGCCAGTTTGACTTGGTATTTAAAAATGAAACTTCTGCTAAAGAATTTAATTAAATACTTTGACACTGTCAAATTGACAATAATATTTATTATTGATAATTTACTTGTCAATTATAAATGAAAAGATAATTATGCCAAAAATAATAGCAACGAATTCGAATGTAAAAGCCCTTTTGAGGGCAAAACTTTATTTTGATGAAATTATGCCAAATGCCACAATGGAAGAAAAAGTACATCGCCTTATGGACATTTTTGGAGTAAAAAAGTAACGAATTTGGTTTTATAAATATTATTATTTTCACATTATTCACCATTGGACAACATTTACGTTCACAAAAAGTTTCTTTTATATAAATTCTATTCAAAGCAAAGATTATTATCCGCTAGGAATACTTTCTCTTCTGGGCCGTAAAGCAACCTATATTTAACTACTTTTTTATATGATTTTACTCATCCAAGCACCACCAAAGCCAAATTAATTGCATTTTTGACTACGAATTTCGACAACTCAACTTGACAACTGCACAATGTAACCTACAATAATTTATACATAACCACAATTAGATTTATAACTAGCTTAGTTTGTTTTAATCAATGCGACCAACTTGACAACTGTATTTACCAACCAAAACCCTAAATTTGCAACGTTGCCGCAGTCCAGATAAAAAAAATTAACTTTACAATACAGCATTTATGTTTATTTCGTTTGTATCGTAGTGTTTGTTTTGTTGAGTTTTATTTGAACTGTTTAAATCGAGGGGTAAACCACTGATTTTTAAAAATTAAAAATCGCATACGAATTAACGGAAAACAATAACAAGGGTAGCCATGCTCAAAGCGTCGTTAAGAGAAAAATTTTGTGTTACACTTGTAAGAAAAGCTTTCTTTAAGCTCGTGTTAAAGCACACGGCCTCGTGAGCAACTACATTTATTATTAAACAGCACAAACCCACAGCACGAGAATTGTAAACAACAAACATGGCCACCGTTAAACTCTATGCAGTGTTGCTGTGATTTTTAGTACGAAACATAGAGGTTTTTCTATGGTACGAAATAAAACCTATAATATATATATGTCAAGTCCAATTATTCCGGACTTGGCTTGAGGACAAGTACACAGTGCCGGTTTAAGTTAGTTCGCCGCCCGGTTCTGGGAAAAACACAACGCCCAATGCTTTAAAATATTACTTTTTTAAAAACATTTTTAAATTTTTAAGTCTTCTTTCTCACATCAAGTGGAAGATTAGGTTGGTTAGGCTGGTATCTACCCACACGGAACAATTACATCCAATGGATATCCAATGGATTTCTTTTATGGATATCCAGGATATACATAGGATATCCGGGATATCCAATGGATAACCATTGAATATATAAATGTCCGACCCTCCTGGACATAGTGTGGATATCCAATGGATACCCAGTGGATATATTATTGTATGCAATATGGTTGTAATCTGTATTCAATATGGAGATTGTATGGATATCCAATGGATAACCATTGGATATATAACATTGCAATGTTATTTATTGAAAAGTAAATATCCATTGATTCACCATATCCAATACAGATGACAACCATATTGCATACAATACTATATCCACTGGGTATCCATTGGATATCCACACTATGTCCAGGAGGGTCGGACATTTATATATCCAATGGTTATCCATTGGATACCCATGGGTTTTAAAATAAAAGTCTTATTCTTTAATTTAAATATTTATTTTTATGAAAACATAAAATAGAACAGAAAACTACATATAACTAAAGAAGTGAAGTCTCTGGCTTGCCATCACTCCTCCAGCTGTCATTTGCCTTTTTATCAGCCTAATCATTTAGGGCCTATTTCACCTGTCTCCTTATGATTCCCAAAATTTGGCCAATCCATCAGCCCATTTGTTACCCTCGAGCCTATGTATAGCTTGCAAATAAAGGTACGGTATATAAATGCATGCATGTATTCACCTTTAATGTTTTACCTTCAATGCTAACCGAAAGTTTATAAATTGCACTTAAATATACCTATTTAATTTAAAATTGTATTAGTTTTAGACAAATACAATTTAAAATGATAACTATGATTAGAAAATTAATAAAATATTCACTTACCACTAGAGACCTCAAACAAATAACCACAAAACACAATAACTTGGCAATAAACTTTATGACAAACATATAACAAATAGCAATGATGGCGAATGAACCTTTACAATCTGTGGAATGAAGCAATTTGCTTCAAGCAAATAAACATGAAAACCCTTTGGATGTACCTAACAATCATGGCATCATATTTAACGGACGCTACCATAGAAAAAGGACGCTTCTTTATCTTCTGTGTTCGGCAGCAGTCACTGCTGAGCAGTGTTGTCAGACGTTTAAATAATTTCAGAAAGCTCATCAAAATGGCGGTTATATTATTAAATCTTTAATACTTAATTAATTAGTATACCTAGCATACCTATTTGACATAAATGTGGTGAATAATTATTTTAAATTTATTTAATTTATTTATTAAAACTTAATAAAGTATACGGAAATATATTTCGTTTAGTTATTTTGCTTATAACGGGCAACACTGAAGATTCTCAAATTCAGCGCGTGCGTATATAGTACTATGAAATACAATAATAAACAAAAGGGACTTTTTTAAGTAATTTTTTATTGTACCCTTGTGGAAATTTTTCTCTGAGAAAGTCTTACTTTCTCTGAAAAAGTCTGAATAATACTTATTAAGTCGGAAAAAGTCAGAATAAGACTTATTAAGTCGGAAAAAGTCTGAATAAGTCTTATTAAGTCAGACTAATAGCAAGATTTGGGAGTCTTCTGGAAGAGTTAATAAGACTTTTTAAGACTTAATAAGACTTTTTGTAGAGAAATGGTAGGTACCTACGGAGATAAAAATAAATATCCGAAATAATTCATAGAGGTTGTATTTGGTTATCGTAAAATAAAACACATAGAAAAGTATTTATTAACATTTTTCCTGTTGTTATAAGCCAAGTTTATTGCATAATTACCTATATAATAACATAGGTAAGATGTAATAATTAGGTATAACAATTATAATTTTATACATACGATGCGCTTGACATGCATGCTTCCACCATAGAAAAAGGAGTTGCCACTGTACGTTTTATTTTAATAGTTTCTTTTGAAACACGCAAATATTTACCTATCTAAACATTGTTACAAACAATAGACGTAAGACGTAATATCGAGAGACCAGCTTAGCTAGCTGACCAATTAGAGCACAGCTGACCTGTCAGTGGGACACAGTGTTGCCGTTTGCAAGTATTTTACTCGAAAATCGGGTATTTTCATAATATTTGCGGGTGATTTGCAAATTTCTATCAAAATAATAATAAAAGAAATTTTCAGTAAATAATATTGTATATTTACTAAATATGCACAATTATTTTATTCTATCTTGTTACATTTTTATTATTATTTTAGTATTTTGTAATTTATGGTCAGGAACTTTTATGGCAACACTGTACGTAAACACGAAGATCAACCATGATACAAAGATGAATGAAACACGAAGATCAACCATATTTGTTTATGAGTCTATCGAAAATATCATGTCTATAGACTTAATATCAATTAATATTAACTCCTTTTTCTATGTTGGAAACAATGAAAGCATGTTAAGCGCATCGTATGTATAAAATTATTATAATTATTACACCTTACCTATGTTAGTATATAGGTAATTATGCAATAAACTTGGCTTATAACAACAGCAAAAATGTTAATAAATACTTGTCTATGTGTTTTATTTTACGATAACCAAATACAACCTCTATGAATTATTTCGGATATTTATTTTTATCGCCATGGGTACCTACCATTTCTCTACTAAAAGTCTTATTAAGTCTTAAAAAGTCTTATTAACTCTTGCAGAAGACTCCCAAATCTTGCTATTAGTCCGACTTAATAAGACTTATTCAGACTTTTTCCGACTTAATAAGTCTTATTCTGACTTTTTCCGACTTAATAAGTATTATTCAGACTTTTTCAGAGAAAGTAAGACTTTCTCAGAGAAAAATTTCCACAAGGGTATTGCAGACTGTCATAGTCATATTATTAACAGAAATAATATTATTAATATATAAATATTATTATCTGGGTAAAGTGAACATTTCAAAATTAAAAATTTCGTAACTCTTGGCAAAAAATCAATTTACCGTAAAGTTGTTTTTTTTTACATATGCTAGTTTAAACCATCACAAAATCCCACATGTATAGATACAAGTATATATACAAGATATCCATATCAGTTATCCATCGGATATCCAGTGGATATCCAGTGGATATACATTAGATGTACAGTGGATATACTTTGGACATACATTAGTTATCCATTGGATATATATTAGAGATACTTTGTTGAAATTGGGTTAATAACGATTTAAATCATATTTATTAATCATAACATAAATTTATCCTATAAGGGGCTATTTTAAAAAAGAAAAAAATATTTTTAATGTTTTTGTTTTTTTTTGAACATCCAGTATGGATATCCATTGGATATCCAGTGGATATCCAGTGGATATAC